GCCTCAGCTTCCCAAAGTGCTGTGATTACAAGCATGAGCCACTGTGACCAACCTCAGAAAAGTAGAAGCTGCCGGGGAGACTCAATCCCCCTACCTGGATCTCCCCATCTCTTGCATGGAATAAAAGGTGCCAAGGAAAACAAATTGTACAGTCAAATGCAAAAAACAAACAAACAAACAAAAAAGAAAACCTGTTAGACTCTTATCTCATACCACACATTAAAATTAACTCAAAATAGATCATAGACCTAATGGATCATAGACCTAAATGTAAGGATATAAGAGCTAACACAAGAAAACTTCTAAAAAAAAAAAAAGAATAATAAGGAGAAAATTGTTGTGACTTTGGATTAGGCAAAGATTTCTTACACATGACCAAAAAAGCACAATCCATAAAAGAAAAACTTGATAAATTGGACTTCATCAAAATTTAAAACTTCTGGCCGGGCGTGGTGGCTCACGCCTGTAATCCTAGCACTCTGGGATGCCAAGGCGGGTGGATCAAGAGCTCCGTCTCTACCAAAAATAGAAAGAAATTAATTGGACAGCTAAAAATGTATATATAGAAAAAATTAGCCGGGCATAGTGGCGCATGCCTGTAGTCCCAGCTACTCTGGAGGCTGAGGCAGGAGGATCGCTTGAGCCCAGGAGTCTGAGGTTGCTGTGAGCTAGGCTGACGCCATGGCACTCACTCTAGCCAGGGCAACAGAGTGAGACTCTGTCTCAAAAAAAAAAAAAAAAATGTAAAACTTCTGCTCTTCCAAAGACACCACTGAGAAATGAAAAGACAAGCCACAGACTGAGAGTAGAGCAGCATATATCATTTGAACATAAGCTATGATTAAGATATATATTGTAAACCCTGGCCACTATAAAACATTTTAAGAGGTATAAATAATAAGCCAATAATGGAGACAAAATGGCCTCATAAAAAAAATCAAAACAATAAAGAGTTAAAAGAAACAAAGAACAAGGGAACAAATAGGAAAACACCTGGCAAGATGCTACATTTTAGTCCACCTATATCAATAATTACATTACATGTTAATACCCTAAATATGCTACTAAAAAGACAGGTTGTCAGATAATCTAAGACCCAATTCTAAGATGTTTATAAGAAACACATGTTAAATAAAAGGCTATAAGTATGCTAAAATGATAAAATATACAAACCTTACAAACGTTAGTCTCAAGAAACCTTGAGGACTAAGTGAAATAACTAAATTAGTATCAAATAACTTTTTAAAAAATTTTTTGTAGAGACAGGGTCTTGCTATATTGCTCAGGCTGGTCTCAAACTCCTGGCCACAAGTGATACTCTCGCCTCAGCCTCCCAAAGTGCTGGGATTACAGGAGGGAGTCACCACGCCCGGCCAATATCAGACAAATAACTTTAGAATAAGAAATATTACCGGGGATAAAGGACAGTACATATCAATAAAGGGATCAATTCTCCAAGAAGAAATAATAACCCTAAATAACACCTAGCAAGAGATCTTCAAAATGCGTGAAACAAATTGATAGAAATGACAGGAGATAAAGAAGCCACAATTCAACACCCGTCTCTCAGTAATGAAGAACAAGGAGGCAGAAAATCAATAGGATGTAGAGACCTAAACAACGCTATCAACCAAACTGATGAACTTAACATTTATGGAATAATCTTCCCAACAATAGCAGAATATATTAGGTCATTAAATATGAAATGTCCAATTTCAAATCAAAAGTTTAGTTTATTATATCTCAAATAAGCAGTACAATTAAGTACACACCTAATCTATTGACACCATCTTAACAGTAGCTTGTTTATGCCAGCAGTGAAGAAGTCTACAGAGCAGTGCTGATGAAATCAAGAAAGGCATTTTCCACAGCTTGTTGAGAATTGAATATTTTTCCTTGCAAGAAGTGGTCCAAAGCCTGGAAGAAGTGTTAGTCAGTTGGTGCCCGGTCTGGTGAATATGGTGGATGACAGAGAGTTTCCAAATCCAGCCTGTGTAGTTTGAGCAGCTTTGTATGACATGTGTTTGAGCATTGTCTTGCAAGAGGATTGGCTTGTCTCTATCGACCAATCTCAGCTACTTAATTGCAAGCATATTTAAATTCATATTCAAAAGTAATGTGAATTTTTGACTTGTCCATGACTTCACAAAAATTGCTCTAAAAAAAACTTGAAAGATAATCACAAGCCAAAACGTGTTTGCAAGAGGTACCTTCACAATAAACATAAAACAAGAAGTGTCAAAGTATCAGAGATATCAACTGTCACTTAGTACTTAAGTACCTAGCAAAGGAATCTTGGAGTATATAACACAAATTACTTGTCTTAGACACTGTTTATTCCACATGTGTAAAGCTCTTGAGTGGCGTTCAGAAAGATCAAAAGAAAGTAAATGTAACATCCATACAGTTAAGCTTTATTTTTATATGCATACATGTTTCAAATATGAGTTCCATCAAGGAACCAAGGCAGTGCAGATAGCTCAGCTCGAAGTATGAACGAAGTGTTCGGGAAGGATGTGGCTAATGAACACAAAGTACATCCATGGTTTGAGAAGTTCCATTCTGGTGATTTTAATCTTGAAAATGAGCCACATGGGCGACCTGAGACCAAGGTGGATAACGATGAGCTGAAAGCTGTAGTGGAAGTGAATCCATCTCAACTGATGCATGAATTAGCAGCAAAGTTTGATGTTACTATTCCAACAATATTGGACCACTTGAAACAAATGGGCAATGTAACGAAGCTGGATAGATGGGTTATGCATGAATTAAACGAGTGTCAGAAGAGAAATTGTCTGAAAGCTTGCCTTTCTTTGCTGTCACAACATAGAGGCGAACCATTTCTACACCATATTGTTACATGATGAAAAACGGACTCTTTTTGACAATCGCAAGTGTTCAGCACAATGGTTGCATAAAGATAAAGTGCTGAAACACAATCCAAAACTGAATGTTCACCCAAAAAAGCTAATACTGTTTGGTGGTCCAGCACTGGTATTATCCATTACAGCTTCATGAAACCTGATCAAATGATTACAGCGGCTGTCTACTGCAACCAGTTGGACAAAATGATGAAGATGCTTGCAATTAAACAGCTGAGATTGGTCAATAGACAGGCCAATCCTCTTGCAAGACAATGCTCAAACACATGTCATACAAAGCTGCTCAAACTACACAGGCTGCATTTAGAAACTCGGTCATCCACCATATTCACCAGACCGTGCACTAACTGACTAACACTTCTTCCAGGCTTTGGACCACTTCTTGCAAAGAAAAATATTCAGTTCTCGCTCTCCAGGCTTCTTTACTGCTGGCATAAACAAGCTACTGTTAAGATGGCAAAACTGTGTCAATAGTTTAGGTGCATACTTTGATTAATTGTACTGCTTCTTGTTTGAGATACAATAAACTAAACTTTTGCTTTGAAATCAGACATTTCATATTTGATAACTTATAGTTTAATGTAATGTCATATAGTTGACCAAGAAGCCACTGGCTATAATATTTTAAACTAAAAAATTATTGTAAATTCAAAAAAATTTTATCATCTTAAATTTTACTATAGAAGGCAGTATCTTGAAATACCTCAATATAGCATCCATATCATTAAATGACAACCATACACATTAAGAAAAATATTGTCTGTTTATTAAAAAAATCAAGATATATTATTAGTGAATCTCACAGATTGACATAGTTTATAATTTCTATTTCTCTTGGATTTGGGTACCTAATGAATTAATACTACAGCTTCTCATCCAATATTGAAATCGATTAAATAGTAACAATTTGGATTTCTAAAAGGTTTCATAGAAGGTAAAATTATTTTAAATTCAATAATGCACATCATTCAAAAGTCATCAAATATGATACTATAGACTACATCTGTGTTGATTTGAAGTTTCTTACATATAAAACTGCCATTCTGTAAAACTATTCATGATTTAAGTTTTTATTTAAATAAGGGTGCATGTTACTTATTTTAAAATTCACAATTAAGTATTTTGGCAGCAAAACATATGTCAGCAAAATGGCTTTTCAGTGATAATTTTTAACTACTGTGACTTGGCTTTATGGACCCAAATTTAAAAGATAAAGGCAGAAAACTGAATCACCAAAATGGGATGTCAAAGGTTCCATTTTCTAATGTATGTTTTGGTGGTGAGTCACCTCAACACCACAAAGAAACAAGCCCTCTCTGAGGGTGATCCATATACAGTAAGTCTTAAGAGTAAATATATCAACTTGGAATAAACAACCAATGTCTCCTAATTTCCTCATATTAAGAATACAATCAGTTATAATCATTAAGATTAAGATATCACAATCTACGTTGATGAAGTATCTGTATATCCAAAAAACTCAAAGGAAAAAATCTAAATTGTGTTTTCTAAAGTATAAATGGTACCTGTACAATTAAATAAATATTATGGTAATACTAAAAGAAAAATGTATCATTTTGTACAAGTATGCAAAAATATATACAAAAACCTGTCATAAAAATTGTGTAAAAACACAGGTAACTGGGGATTTTTTATTTTAATAATACACATTACAAAATTAGTTCACGAAAACTAATAATAGCATTATAGCCCAAAGTGAGCACCCAAAGTTTAGATGGGATTTAGACGAAGGATAACCTAATATGTCCTTTATATGGTATAAATCTATAATCTTTAAAAAGAAAAAAAGGCATAGTGATTAAAAGCCAAACTGATGCCAGACTGCCTGGGTTTGAATGCCAAATTTAGACTTACAAACTCTACGACCTTGGGCAAGGTATTATCCTTTTTGTGTCTCCATTTCCTCACCTGTAAACTGGAGATAATAACCTTCGTAGTGATTTTTTGTTATTGTTGTTGTTATTTAGTTTTTATTTCATAACTATAAACTTAACTCTGCCATCCAGCAAGAGGTGGAAGGGAATAAGGAAAATATGGAACCCAAAGAACTGCAATGACAGCACAAAGATTATAGGGTATTGATAGTAAAACGGGGTGGAGGGGTGCTCTCCTGAGCTACAGAAGGAATGGTCTGGTGGTTAAGATAAAACACAAGTCAAATTTATTAAAGTTGTTCACAGTAGGCAATGGTGACCTTCTTGCTGGTCTTGGCATTCCTGGACCCAAAGTGTTCCATGGCTTCCACGATATTCATGCCCTCTCTCACCTTGCCAAAGACCACATGCTTGCCATCCAACCACTCAAACTTGTCAGTGCAGATGAAAAACTGGGAACCATTTGTGTTGGGTCCAGCATTTGTCATAGACAAGATGCCAAGACCTGCATGCTTCAGGTTGAAGATCTCATCATCAAATTTCTCCCCATAGATAGACCTGCTGCCAGCGCCACTATGGCATATGAAGTCACCACCATGGCACATAAACCCTGAAATAATTCTGTGAAAGCAGGAACCCTTATAACAAAATCCTTTCTCTCCAGTGCTCAGAGCACGAAAGTTTTCTGCTGTCTTTGGAACTTGGTCTGCAAACATCTCAAAGGAGACATGGCCCAAGGGCTTGCCATTGATGGCAGGTGGTAACGGCAAAGTCATAGTGTTTTTATAAGGATTAAATGATTTAAAAATCCCGGTAGATAACAAGAAAATATAAAAGTACTTTTATTCTAGACATTTTTAAAAATGATTTTTTTATATCTGATTCTTTATAGCATCCTTGGTTTTATAAGATATGAAATGTCAGAAAATTTGAGAAGGACACAACATACAATCCTTTGTATTTATATGCAAATTCCCACTGATATTTCTGTGAAAATTATCCTCTCTTCCCCATGACAGGAATAAAAAAGCATTATTAAAATGTTCTTGTCTCAAAAAAATAAGGTCCCTCAGCCTATCCCTTTATCAAATGTAAATCATAGTTTCTCTGATGAAATGTTTTTTAATTCAATTAAGTTTAAACATAGAGAATGCTCTTAAATGTTAAATCTATGTCAGGATTTAATCACCTTAAAATCATATCCATTTTCTAAGTGCACACTTGGTAAGAACATTTTTCCCTATTAGAGTTTGACCATGTACCTAGCAAAGGAATCTTGGAGTATATAACACAAATTACTTGCCTTAGAAAAGACACTATTTATTCCACATGTGTAAAGCTCAATAAGCAGCTTTCAGAAAGATCAAAAGAAAGTAAATATAATATCCATACAGTTGTTTAAGCTTTATTTTTGTCTGCATACATGTTTCAAGGAAACAAAAATTTTAAGACATGGAATACAATATATCAAATGAAATAATTCAGAATTATTTTAATGTCAACACAAATAATAATATAAAGTACATACACAGGATACATTATATAATTTGTTTTGAGGTTTCAAAAAGCAGTGATTTGGTTTTAAAATTTGGATACAGTATCTGTTATAACATTCAAGTAACATATTTCAAAAGTTTGATTTTTTTAAAATAACTGTATTAATACATAACTCTAAGACAACCTGCCTCTACCATGATCTTCAAAATAGTGCTGTTCAATTCTTCTACAGAAAGCAAGGAGGTTGCTATAGTTTTTCACCTTCTCAGAAAGTTCATCATTGGTCAACTGTGTGGTAAGAATGGTGTACAAATGGCCAAATACCAGTGCATCAAGTTCAGTAGGCCTAAAACAAAAGTAGAAATGAGAGTAATATGAGTAGAATTTCATTTTTATGGTAGAAAATACCATCAGGTTCTCTGCACTCACGAATCCCACATCCGCAGGTTCAACCAACCTGCGTCAAAAATAGTTTAAAACATAAAAATAACAATACAACAATAAAAATAATACAAATTTTAAAAACAATGCAGTGTAACAACTATTTACACAGCATTTAGATTGTATGTATTAGGTATAAGTAATCTAAAGATGATTTAAAGTATACCAGAGGATGTGCACAGGTTATATGCAAAGACTATGCCATTTTATGAGACTTGAGCATCTGGGAATTTTGGTATCAATTGGGGTCTTGAAACCAATCCCCCATAGATACCAAAAGACAACTGTATACTACTTTAAAAAACATTTTATTCATCAATTTAAAAGAAATAAATACTACCACAACTTGAGAGAATTTATTCTGTCTTAACTTGGAGTTTCTGTTATAAGATAGAAAAAAAAATTTAAAGTAAGGGCATGCCTTTAACCCGCATTTGAGTGAGGCAAAGACATAAAGTGTAACTATAATGTTTGTACCCTCACAAAACCCTGGAATAATAAATAAAATAAATAAATAAAAATAAAATAAAATAAAAATTTAAAGTATGATTTGCTAGTTGCATGACTTGTTTGTTGAAGAAACAGTAATATTTAAGTGTGTTAAAATAATATAGGTGTAACAGATCATATTCATTTTATTCATTATTTTATTCACTAAATAAATACAGCAGGTTTCCAGTGTGCCTGAAACTACACCAGATGCTGGAGACATAAAAACAAGAAAGATACCCTAAGTCATGGACACAAAACATAAATTACCACAACATAATTTATTAAGTGTTTTAATAGAAACATAGACAAAGTGCTATCAAAGCTCAGAGGATTTCTGCTGTGGTGCTAGGACCAAAAAATGATAACCAATCACCAAGTCACATATCAACAACATGATACAACTTACATTGTACCACTTGTAAAGTAACTTAGATTTGTGAAGGAAACATAATCATAAAGATGACCTCAACATAAAATTTTCTAGGGTTTTTCCCTCTTTAATTATATATTCCTAACAACAAAATGAAATTTACCTCACTACTAATGGTCTATAAATGGGACATCACCAATCTATGTTATATTAAAATAATTACTAATGCAATATTACTAAAAGGAGAAAATACCATCCTAATTATGAACTAATTATTACTGTCAGTCCCACAGTGATGAAGTTTTTCAGAAAGCATGTGCTAGTCCAACTAAATGTGAAAATACGTTGCAATAATCTGGTTTGACAGAATAGATTTGGGGATCAGTCAAATTTAAATTTGAACCAATTCTGGCACTTACTAGCTGTGTGTCCTTGGTCATTCATACTGATGAATAACTGCATGGGGTTGTACAACTTTAAATACCATCTTCATGCCACTGAATCCCAAATATTTATTTCCGATCCTAGTCTCTCCCCTGAGCTCTGGATTCGCACATTCAAATGCCTACATAACATCTCCACTTCAATGTTAAGTAAGTATCTCAAACCTGCTTGTCCCCCAGTCTTCCCAAAATAAAAGGTACCACTATCACCCTAGCAGTTCACGCCAAAAATCTAGGGTTACCCTTGAGTCCTCTCTTTCTCTTACTTCCCGCCACCCATATACATTAGCAAGACTGGTGAGACACTACCTCCAAAATATGCCCTGAATACCACTTATCTCTATCATCATCTCCTATTCTCAGCTACTATCATCTCTCACCTAGACCACTGCAATAGCCTCCCAATGTGTCTTCCTGTTTCTCCTCATTCTCTACACCATAGCCAGAATGACTATTTAATGTCACCAGATCATACCACTCCAAGCATAAAATATTCCAGTGGATTTCCATTCCACTTACACTAAAATGCCAAACTCCTTACCCTAAGCATACAAAGCCCAGATGATCTGGTTCCTGCCTACCTCTACAAACTCACTTCCTACCATTATCAACATGCAACCCAAACTGTTCTTGCTCTTTCATTTGAACACAACAAAACTCGAATCAATCCTGAGGCCTTGACACCAACTATTCCTACTGCCTAAAACACTCTTCCTCTGGCTTCACGTTGCTGACTACTTCTTGTTTTTCAGAATAAGGCTTAAATGTCACATGTTAACACCTCCCCTGACCAGCCGAACTAAGGTGGACAGTCACTTAATTATCATGTGATGCTACATGTGGCATTTAATACCATCTAATGTTTGTTGCTTACTGTGCATTTCCTCTACCAGAAAGTTCTATGAGAAAAACGATCTTATCTACTTGTTTTCTCTTCTTTTCTTTTCTTTTTTTAGACAGAGTCTCGCTCTGTTGCCCCAGCTAGAGTGCAGTGGCATCATCATAGCTCACTGCGACCTCAAACTCCTGGGCTCAAATGACCCTCCTGCCTCAGGCCCCCAAGTAGCGGGGACTACAGGCGCAAACCACCATGCCCGGCTAATTTTTCTATTTTTAGTAGAGACAGGGTATCACTTTTGCTCAAGCTGTTCTCAAACTCCTGAACTCAAGCAATCCTCCAGCCTTGGCTTCCCAGAGTGCTAGGATTACAGGTGCGAGGCACCATGCCCGGCATATCTACTTGTTTTCTGCTGTATCCCCAATATCTAGAACAATGTCTGGCACGTAGGTTCTCAATAAGTATGTGCTGAACAAATCAATAAAAAGGTGACACTCTTCTCATACCACACTGTAACTGTGTTGACTTAACTGTTTCCCTCACTACACTCCATGCTCTTTAAAGGCAACGCTGCATATATCTTTGTATCTCCAGTTCTTAGCACAGTACCTAGGGAATGAAATGGCATTTGCTTAATAAATAAATGAAATAAAAAAGAAAGCATCTTGACTAAGGTTTGTGGGATATTTTATTTTCTCAATTGTAGTTATTCACATTCTTTCAAAGCCTTTTCTCTTTTGACACATTCAAGAAGTGTTAATCAAAGTCAGATGTGCAATATATAGCCATGTTTAAAAGGGTAGCTGACAGCACAGTCTTAAAAAATCTCATGTTCTTAAACTCAATAGCACCATAATCTTATCATCACAGATGAGTCAATAACAAATCGATCCCTGCAAAGAACCAAGGATGTACAGTGGATAAATGTAGAGCTGAGGTACCTTGCAAGAAGTAATATATAAACACCAACTCTTCCACATCCCTAAACGTATTTCTTAAAAGGTACATCTTATCTTAACAATTCAAGACTTATTTTCCTCATCTTTGATTAGTGCCAGCTACCCTTTGCTTCTTGTACAAGAGCCTAAAAAAGGTGAACGTATTCCCTGATGCAACTTCCAATAGTGTAGACGGCCATCCTTTATCAATAAATGAAGGCTCTGAATGAGTTCAAGCATGAACGTATGCTCAAATTAGAGTGCTTCAGAAGTACTCCTGAAGTTGTCAAAACATTATTTGCTACAACTATATATCCACATAACTCTAAAGATATTGAATTATATATGGGTATGAGCAAATAAAAATTGATCTGATGTTACATAAAGATAGCAACTTTGTGGCAAGTTACTTTAGAACATCAACAGGAAGTAGAATTCAATAGATTAAATCAAACTAAGCACATATAGTCACCTGTTGCCTAACAACTAGAATACATTCTGAGAAATGCATCATTAGGTGACCTCATTGCTATGTGAACACTACAGAATGTATTTACACATACCTAGATGGTATGGTCTACTACACACCTAGGCTATATGGTATATCCTACTGCTCCTAGGCTACAAACCTGTACTGTAAGTTACTGTATTGAATACTGTAGGCAACTGTAATCCAACAGTAAGTATTTGTGTATCTAAACATATCTAAATTTAAAAAGGTATAGTAAAACAAGGTCTTATAATGTTATGAGACCACTGTCATATATGTAGTCCACCATAGACTGAAATGTTGTTATTCAGCACATGACTGTCTATATATATAATGGCTCTGACAATAAATTACTAACTCTAACAATTCTTTCATTTAAAAAGTATACCTGTTGTGGTGGTTACACAACTGTATGCCTTTGTTAAAACTCATAGAACTATACACTTAAAAGTGACAATTTTATTACATGTAAATTACATATCAATAAACCTGACTGTTTAATCAAGATCTTGTTTGAATTATCTTGCTATACCATATGAAGAGAAAACATAATGTTCCACCTGTCTTTGAATTAGCTTGCTATATCATGTGAAGAGAAAACATAGCTTTCTACCTGTATGCTTTCCAAATAGTTTGTGGATTATATAATTTGTATATAGATAGCAAAGAGTCCTCAGAGTTCTAAGAGATGTCATATATATTGTTGCATTTATCTTTATAGACTTTTTATTAGAAAAACATTCCAGGGTGACAAATACATTTTTAAAGTCCAAAAAATTTGATGCTTCCTTATCTTGTATCATCATTCTTTCCACATTTCTGTTGGTTATCTACTGTTCTTTCATTTGAAAATTAAAACAAAAACAGTACTGTAAAATGTCAACATTTTCCTAACCTTTTCCATTTAAAATTTTTCTGGCATTCATCCTTTTTGCTTTGTTTATTCATTATGATTTTGTATTTCTTTCTCTCTGATACCTTTTATAGTATATCTAATTTCAAAAATATTAATTTTGTCTGGGTGTTTCCTAATTTTTCTTGCCCAATACATGATTAACTTGTCATCTCTTCATACTACTAGAAATAATCTATATATCCTTCATTTATATTCCAATCACTGATCTTTAGGACTGCTACCCAAGTTTCTAAATCAAGCCCCTCACTTCTTGGTCCTCTTTCCCCAATTATTATTCTGCAGTAAGATCCTCCTTAACTATCCTTTTCCTTTGGTTTCTTTCATGAGTCCTCCCAACATCCCCTGTAGGTAAGCTAGGAGGAAAGTTGATTCTAATTTTAAGGAGTAAGGGGAGGAGAATATACAGAGAATTAAAGTAATTTGCCCAAGTTCAGTATATGTCAGAGCCAAAAATAGAATTGAGGGCCTCTAACTTAGAGTCCAATACTATACAGCATGATTTAAGCCAGGGCTCTATCCACTAAGGTACAGTGTCTTACAAAGTGATGACTCTTACTACAGGATAAAGAAATGAGAAAAATTTTGCCAGAACAAAGTGAAAATACAAGTTACTTTTCCCTAAATGTACTTTATTTGCATTTTAATATTAAATGATTGAGTAAACTTAAATTTAAAAATTAAATCTAAATATCACATAAGGTAAAATTATTTCAAAAACCTACATCTTAATATCAATTAAACAGTTCCTCAAAAGCAAGCTTTTGGTTTTACAACTGTTCTAAATTAGAATTTCCATTATAAGTTTAAATATAACTGTGCCCTTATGAAGAAAAATGATATCTTGATATTTCCATTGAGTGGCATGCCAAATGACTTCTAATTACTGACACGGTGATAATGAGTTTAACTGAGACGAGACAAAAAATAAGTTAGATCTACTCTCTTGGCCTCCCCTAAAGACAATGTGCATAACAAAACTAACTCAAACTAACTTGTAAAACAGAAAAACGCACTTCAAACAATAAAACACACCCCTTCTGAGCTTTTCAACTTCTAAGAATTCCTATATCAGAAAGAAAAGGGGAACTACAGAATACTAACATTTGGATACATTTCTTTTATATTAGAGACTAAACAAATAGAATCTGCATAGCAAACATGACTAGAAACAGGAACAGAGTTGTAAAAGCTTTACCTACCAGGATTTCATGGTTTGAACTCTGTGACCTTTCCTCTTCAAAGATCAACAGATCCCAAATTTTATTTTAATATCAGTTATATATAATATTCATTACTCATGCTATGGAGTAATATAACTTAAATATTTCCAAGCTATCATCATAGTCATTTTTACTACAAATATTAATATCTTTACCACAAACTGTTTGATATGGCTATAGAAGATGAATGCTTATGAAGATATAATAAATAATAGCAAATAAAGCCTTTTAAAAAGTATCAATCTAAAAAGCGAAAAATTTTTATTAAAAAGCCAAGGAAAATTTAAACCTTCTAAACAAATCTTTGAGATTAAAATGCTAATTTAATTCCATCTTATACTGAATCACAGAATAGACAGCAGATTCTGATATATCAAAAATGGTAATTTTTAATAAAAAATTCATTCTTTGCCTACATTAGAGATTCTTTTCAAAATTGCAAAAAAATCTGTCAATGCAACATGAATTACTCAATTTACATATATACAGATATAACTGAATCCTTTCATTTCTATGCTTTATGAATGTTTCCATTAACATTTAAAAGATAAGCTCAAAATAGTGCTTGTCTATCCAAGAATATTTTTTATTGTGTAGTTCTGTTGATTTTTCTAGTCTCCAGGGTATCATCCTATATGGGGTATCATCCTAAACAGACAACTATACTTACACTAACAACTTCTTCATGTTGTTATAGTACTTTACAAGTTTAGAATTTTGTTAGGAATTTGAAGTTATGCACAACACCTTGAACTACCTCTATTATAACCTTTATAATGATTGATTTACATGACTGCCCTTAAGAGAAATTCTTAATGACAAAGACCACATTTTAGAAATTTTAGTTTCCCAGAGCCTAGCTTTCTGTGCCTGGTAGCCAAGAAGTGCTATAAATGCTTAATGAGTACAAAAATTTAAAAAAATAATTAAATCTTTTCATAAATACTTTTTGAAAAAGCCATTTCTTTATGACAAAAGAAATTTGCAACCTAACAATACAGGGAAAAAACTAACTTAAAAAAAATAAAATTTCTTACTGTTTATTGAAGAAATAGGGTTGTGTTCCCAGTCTTTGAGAAAGAGCTTGACAGCACTGGTCTACATCTTCTAAAACCTAATGCAGGCAATGGGCCACAAAGAAAAATATTTCAATTAGCAAAACAATAAAGAATATCTAAACTTAATTTATATCACGGTTTAAAACAAAAATATAAATTTA